GTGACCTATTATGGTGGCTAGTCGACCATCTAAGAAATGAGGTCTCTGGGGACATCCTCAAATAGGTCTTACCAAACGCATCCAAGAAAAGGCAACGCTAATTTTATTGTATATAGTTTGACTAGTGATGACAATGACAATATCATGAAGCTAATTGTTAGGGTACTTGTAGTTTAACCAATGTAGTTAACTACAATTCCATAAACTGTTTGTAAATTGATAAGTTCTATTAATACACTTTTGTTAACAACAGCCTATTCATTGTTGACAAGAGAATATTGTAAATTGACAATAACAAACAAGCCCCCAGTAAGTTCTTACTTGGCTGCATTGGCCAGCGTTATGTATATTTTGACAACAGCCCATTCATTTTTGACAATTCAACATTGTAAATTGACAACAAAAATAAGCCCCTAACAGGTTCTAACTTGGTCACATTGGCCATCATTAAGTATTTGTTAACACTAACCTATTCATTTTCCACAAGACAACATTGTAAATTGACAACAAAAAATAAGCCCCCAATAGATTCTAACTTAGCCATATTGGCCACCATTATGTATATGTTAATAATAACCCATTTGTTTTTTTAACAAGAGGACATTGCATAATGACAACAAGAAATATGCCCCTAACAGGTTCTAACTTGGCAGTAATTTTCCAGTGTTATGTATATGTTGATAAGAACCCATTCATTTTTTACTAGATAACATTACATATTGACAATAAGAAATAAGCCCTCAATAGGTTCTAACTTGGCTGCAATTTGCCAGCATCACGTATATGTTGATAAGAACCCATTTGTTTTTTGACAAGAGGTTCTAACTTGGTTGCAATTTACCAGCATTATGTATATGTTGACAAGAACCCATTCATTATTTTACAAGATAACATTGCATATTAACAATAAGAAATAATCCCCCAATAGGTTCTAACTTGGCTGCAATTTGCTAGTGTTACATATATGTTGACAAGAACCCATTCATTTTTTGACAAGAGAACATGGCATATTGACAACAACACATTAGCTATATATACTGTCAAGAACTTGTGTTCAAACTACTAGCGTTACGTATATGTTGACAAGAACTCATTTTTGACAAGAGAACTTGCATATTGATGACAACACATAAGCTATATATACTATTAAGAACTTGTGTTCAATTTGCCAGCGTTATGTATATGTTGACAAAAACCCGTTCGTTTTTTGACAAGAGAACATTGCATATTGACAACAACCCATTAGCTATATATACTGTCAATTACTGAAATATTCAAACAGAATTTCATACTGGTACTTGTTATCGATGCACCAAGTACCGTTATGAAATTTACAACAAAATATATCAACCTATTTACCAAAAACATATATACAAAAAACATATAGTAACCCATTTCAAAAAAAATTCATTCATGAGTTGCCTGTATAATCAAAAGCTGCAATTGCATTTACTAAAAACCTTATAGCACTATATATGTACCAAAATATAAACATGATGGCCAACTTTCTCAACCTAGATTTGGGTTCCTATAAGTCCTTCACATGTGAGTACCCTCTCCACACCTTAAGCAACGATAAACTTTCTTATTTTGGAATTAGGATTCTATCTTCTTAATACGTGGCCTCCCTAGAGGTCGACTTGTCAATGGTGGCAATAGGGAGTTCTAGGATGCCAAATCACTCAAACCACTTGTACTAGGCCTAGGGATGTTGTGTGTCTCTACTAGAAGTGTGGGGGTGCTCTTTATTTTCTCTTGGGAGGCAACTTGGTAACATTCCTCAATCAATGAATATACATTACCATGGTTTACCTTTATTGCTACATATATATATGGGCACACAAAAATCCTGACATTTGCCAAGCAAGACAAGAGCATTGAGACAGTGAAAGGTTAACACAAACATCACCTTTCAAAGTTCTAACTCTAATAGTATTAATTCCATAATATTGTGCATTCAAAGTTTCCCCTCTTAACACATTCTTCATTAACTTTGACTCAATGTTTGGTCCAACTCCATTTATATATTTGGATATAGTCAAATTACTTTTATATATCTTTGAAGCCAATTTTTCTCTATGCTCATATATCAATATTAGGATATTATGCTTTTGTTCCTTAACAAGGCATGTATTAAAAGACTTTGCAATGTTGGTTGTTATATTAACCCATCTCTTATTAGGGAATTTGCTTATAACCCAACGATCAATATTTGAATTACTTTCTACCCAACATCCTAACTCTGGACAAAAACTTATCAAATTACCCATTGCTGCATTGAAGTCAGAATGAAGTCTAACATAGGCTATAACATCTAATAATTGAAGTGCAACTTCCTTTGTCTCTGTAATCTTCTTTTTACCCCTTGTGACTTTTAAAAATTCAGCACTATAGTTCTCTTTCATTTGGCGATAGCAAAAAACATGTCTTTTGCCACCAAATATGGCCCCTACAGCCCCAACTATTACATTATGTCTGTTAGACACAATTGTTATTTTGCAACATCTTGTTATTTTTTTCATATTATATAGAAATGATGCCCAATCATCATAAGTCTCTCCACTAACTATAGCATAAGCCAATAAGAATAATTCATTGTTAGCATCATAAATGCTTGCACCAAACATTGTCTTTTGTATAAACCATATAGATGACACCCATTTATATGCAATATAGCCTAACCAGCTTCTATAAACCCTTTTCTATAAGGCCTATAGGCAATTAACACCTGTTGAAATCTATTACTTGGTCCTACAATCTATTTACCTACCATTTTTGGATTGCTTTTCTTAAGTCTGCCACAAATCCAAGGGATTAACCCGTAAGACTCTTCCGGTGAACCATGTAAACCGACCAATGCCTTCTCTTTATCTCTATATGCTTAAAGGTAGGAAAAGCTCACACCATATTCTCTGTACGTGTCTCCTCTAATTTCATTTGCAAACTTATTGATACTTGACTTTAGCTCATCTAGTAAAATAGATTATGTTAGAGAAGCTCTAGTCTTGTGTGAGACTATGAGGTTGTCTTGAGCACAATGTGCATGTTGATTGATAAATGTTCTTACATGTAAAAATGCATTGTCTTCCTCTACTAGCTTATATGCAGAAATTTTTTATGGGAAACCCTTAGCCACCCACTCTGCAATGATTTTCTTCTTGTCACTCTTTAGGAAGTTATATGCAAACTTGTGGGCAAAGCTATATTTGTGTAATGCTTGTCTAAATGCAATAACATCAAGAAATATTTGACCTACACTGATAAACAAATCCCTCTACTTTGTAGCATTCATCTTTGACATGGGAGTTATAATACTCTGCACAACTAAACTTCGTTCAGCATTAGCTGCTTTTAAGGAGATGATGAGCTTGCATAGTCTAAATTAATGTCCCACTCACTTTGACATAATGATATTCCTTCAGTATCTCCATAGATGTTACCTACACAACATTTACAATCAACGCCATGCACGTTATGTGCAACACTAAATTTCAACTAACTAAAATTTACATAATTCAACTTAAATACTTACTCTTGAGAATAATCAATTGATGATGACTGTGTAATGTCATTTTCCCTCCTACCTATATAAACGTGACTAGTGTTATCATTGAATTCAATTAGTTGAGCAACTTCAATGTCATTAACAAGATCTATCAATGTGGTTTCTTCAATCTTCATTGTGTACTTCAAGTCCATTGTCTTCATTCTATGACACACTTATAATAATATTAATCTTCAAAGTGCATTGTATGTCATCCCCTTTGTAATAATTCTAGCAATTATGTTGCCTCGCTTATATTTCACCTTCCTTTCACTTGTCCTGACATAATCTCTACCATGATAGAAAAAACAAAATAATTTCTTCCCTTGAATGTTTACCATTGATCATGTAAGGTTAAAACCTTAAATTAATGCAGAAAAGCTTACATGACATTAGTCATACAAAATTAATTGTAATTCTGGTTTAACAATTACAAATCATATATTAACAATAAAGTATTACTATTCTAACAACACAAAAGTAAACAATTCCAAACTTCTAAGGCTTCAAGCAAGCATATTCTAAAAAAACAATTCATTATTTAACAACTAAACTTTTTGTTTTAACAATATCATGTTACAACTTTGATAACACAACATAAAACACATTTCAAAAGGATGCTTTGTAAAGGGCACATGCAACTCACGTTTAATGCATCTAATACATTCAATTTCACTTTGACTTCCCAACTGTTGTTAAATGCTACGCATTACACACACACGACACGCAACTTTACGCACTGACAATGAAGAACGTGGGAGATAGGGTCGAAAAGATAGTTGCATTAATTACCTCAATGTGGAGAAAAGAGTTTGGCCATTCCGATGCACTCAACTTGCTTTGATAGCGATCTCCATGTCATGTAGTATTCATGCCAAAACATTATTCATTAGAAAGAATAATGAGAACATTTAAGGAGACAATAATGTAAGGTAATAATGGATGATTCTAGATTTTTTCATCTACAAGCTATCCTACTTCACTTGCAAAGCTAGTTGAGATAGAAGGAAAATAGAGAAAAGCTTTGACTGAGATCTCTTTCAGCTAGGAACACATTTCCAACATTCTGAGGGACATTTCAATTTTTCCCTTATAAAATTCATATGTAAGAAGGATTAAAAGACTGCAATAAAAATATGAAATCATTTAATCCTTGTGTGATATAAATATTGCACAATGGTCCTTGAATGTCATTTTCTCATATATCAATCCAAATACTACCTAAAAAATTTTAAAAATATAAATTGAATATATGACTTCTTTGACTGGCGGACTCGTCGTTTTACCGGTTTGATCTGTTTTGGTTTCTTCCTCTCCCGTTTTCTCATTACACAAGACCGGACATATTACATATATGACCATTTTTCGGTTCAACGAGTCAAATTGTCGAGTTTGGTCTGATTCTCTCGATACTTATTAAAAATTATAAGCTGTACTACGAACTATAGTGTGCTAATTTCACAAATATGACTAGCGTTCCAGAATCGAACGCCCAATTTCCTTTTCTAAGATGATAAATTACAATTAACATTGTTGAGATAAAATCTACAATAACATCATTTTATTGCCATTTCACCGGGTCATTTTTGCTTCTTGTCTGAAGCAGTACTGCCACTATCGATAGCAGCAGCTGCAGCTACCATGTCCATTAACCTCTCGTAATCAATTTCAGTGGATTTCAACTTGAACTTGATGCCTACCTGAATCCATGACTTGATACAAAAAATATACTGTGTGCTATCATGTGACATACAGAACCGTTGCTTGTTGATCTCATCACCCCTGCCACAGAAAAGTTCCTCAGGCACAACTGAAGTAGCCTGCATAGCCAGGAAATCTCTAGCCATCACAGATAACCGTGGATAGCGGGTGCTATTGACCTTCCACCATTCCAGAACATCTGTTGGTATTGGAGCTGGAGCTTCCGAAAGATACTGACTGAGCTCATCAGTGCCAGAGCTCATGCTTGCACGTCGTTTCTTGCGTGCTATCTCCTCTGCAAAGGAAACAGCCCCATCTTCAATTTCCTGAGTACTACATCCAGCACTTATGGATGAGAAATGTGTGGTAGAATAATTTCTTGTAAAATGGGTTCTTGCTTCCTCTAGAAAACTATCTGAGTTTAAGCCCTCGGGGATTAGCTCTCCCTTAATTCGAGGATCTAGAATTGCTGTCATATATGTGAATATGTTGCAAACCTGATTAATGTAACTTCTGGCCTTTTTAGCCATTTCTTCTGCAGCACTTTTTAGCCACTCTGGGCTGTGACGGGATTCTCTGCAGTTAGCAATTGTTTCTGAGATGTGATCCATGAAGAAAAGGACGAGGCCAACTGTTGGCACCTTACTTGTGCATAGGTTATTCGTGGTCTTGTAGAATGGCTCCAAATACTGATGCACGACACTAGCTACACTTTTTTCGGTTGAGTTCAGCGCCATCCTACTACCAAGAGTCTCCTCGTATTTACGAATAACTGCATCCATAGATTTACCCCCCTGCATCATAAATATAACCCTATTTTATTACTTTGAATTCAAAAGGCACGTTTCAGATTCACAAGAATGTCATTACATGGTACCTAGTCATAGTTAAAAGAAAATTTCCGTAGCCAGGCTATTAATCTACCATTTCTTACAACACGCAGACTACAATCATGGGCAGAAAAACCACAATTTTCCTATAAATCTTTTAAAGAAAATACACTGCAATAAGCTTAAAATGAACACCAGATACGAGTTTCCACTTGATTATTATCCTTGGCTAGAAATCCATTTTTAGAGAGCAAAGCCACCAACAAAATCACATTATTCATAATATAAGGGCACATGGAATATATATACATATATATATATATATATATATCTATCTTGGACACGTTTCAATAATACACAAACAGGTAGGTGCGCAGAGATTGATAAAAACATAAGTACATCAACTAGTATGTAAAAGGTGCATTTAAGAGGCATGTCAAGTTCCAAAAAGACAGCCCCTTTCTTGAAGTGCCAGTGTTTCATAGACAATAATTAAGAATGCAAGGATTATTTATTTTATTCCCAAGCTTAGCATGGAAAAGGTGTGATGAAGATTTAATATTACTGCCTGCTGATTTTCCTTAACGTGAGTTTTAGGTTTTCTATCAAAATTATTAAGTTTTTGACACTTTTTGATGAAATACCAATCATACACAGCTCAACCAATTTATATAAATGAATCACATGTAAACCCTATCAAGATTAAATAAAGCACTACTAATAACTATAACAAAATTGAAATCTTGGCGGACACAGAGTAATAGCTAAATCTTTAAAATGACCTGACTAAAGTAGTACTAGCACGTGTCCTCTACTTATTTATTTAAAGGGCCACTTTACCTGGAAAAATCAGGTAATTCTGAACTGTTTTCCGACACCATAAGCATAAGAAACCACAAGCATGAAATCGTTGATAGTTTTGACTGCGAAAATATTGGCACTATAAAGATAACAATCAATCTCTCTCTCTTTTCTTTTCTTTTTTTTTTTTTTTTTTCATTCTCCCTACTACTTCCTGATTACTGTCATAGACTGAGTAAATATGTTGCAAACAGGAATTTAATAGAATACAAGTTCATTGGAGAAGAACTTTCATTTGCTTCACAATTAACATTTCCCATATGATTCCTTGGAAATATCTGCAAGTTTTATAGGGATCTTCATGTCCATTATTAAAGTAGTTGTCAAAGATAACAAGATACCTTGCAAACAATGTCAAGCATCTGGTAATTTCCGCTCCACCTTGCGGAAACATCTAGAGGAAATTTCCAAGTACCTTCTTGATAGGCCATAGACATTTGAATAAAATCCTCAGCCATCTCTGATGAGGCATTCAATTCTATTACAAATTCCCGGATCTTAGAAATTATGGACTTTGTGGATCTCAAACCATCATCTATAACCAAGCTCAAAGTTCTAGCAGCACAGGGGAGATAACAGAATGGCCCTATCTTCTGAGCATCCAAGTCCTCTTTCAAAGTATGGCAGGCGTGAATGGCATTTTGACTATTATCATGGGTACATGAGAGGACTCTATTTTCAATATTGTACATTTTAAGAACCTTAATGAGGGAGTGATATATTTCCGTACTCCCATAAGGGGAAGGTACGCGACAAATATCCAGAAGCACTTTCTGGAAGCACCAGTTTTCATCAATCCATTGACAAGTGACACTCATATAAAAGACTTGTTCAAAAGAAGTCCAGAAATCAACTGTGATGGAGAACTTCGTAGAAACTTGTGCTAAAAACGCTTTCACTTCTTCCTTCATGCTTCTGAAAACTTCAAAAAGCACAGATCTGTACTTCTCACACGGCCAGAGTTGTATAGATGAGTTTAGAAACTTAAAGGAATTCACTAGCCACTTCTCCTCCAGAGTTGATGGGGGCAGAGAAGCTGTAACAAGCCACCTAATGAGCAACCAATTCAGATTATCATAATCAACCTGGTTTGTTTTTCCTTGAGGTTGAGTCTTCTTGGCTACAGCAGTAGGTTGAATTGCTGGATTGTTGACCACATCGCCTGACTTATCATACCCCGGATGGCGATTGGTAAGATGCCTTCCCAAATTGCCTTCAGAAATAAAGAAAAGTTAGTATATATTCAGAAGCTAGCATTGAGGATTTCAGTATATCGCTGATATAATTAAAAATTAGTGCGGCTTAAAATATACACTGAAACAAGAAGTTGGAAGGAACTTATGGTAAATATTCACACAATATAATGTCAAAAACTTCTCAATATCTCCTCGGGATAAGAAATTTAATGAGTAATTCCTTGGCTTGGCTTGATGCAACAGATTAAGGCATGTTGTGACAAACCTCAGAAATAGGAAAAGACACATGATATTTAGAAAAGAAAGGATAGGTCATAATATCAATGAAAGAAAACAGCACATGAGAACTACCTGTGGCAGTTGCAATGGAATATGTTTGTCCACAAAACTTGCATCTCCGGGTCTTCCCATCAGCAGCTGTCTCAAAGAACTTAAGATAAACTGATGTCATTGTTTTCTTTCTTGGCTTCACTGAATTTATAGGATTTGCCTTTTCTGAAGAGCCGAGGCCAATATTTACAGGATCCATGTTTGGAATGAGCGCCACCTCCATCATTGATTTATGATCATCTACTGAATGGAGCAGAAAAGAGCTTAAAGGGTCATAGGATGCATTAAGTTTTGAAAAAGGAAAATAACAAAAGTCAAATTTTTATATTTGAACCAGTAAAGAACACAAAAAAATGCAGAAAATCACTTCATTATCCTAGGTTTTGAATATCATGATAAATATGATCAGCCTAAAAGCAAAATTTCTCAGCTTCGCTGGACATGGGTGCTAATATATTCAAACAATGAGACACCTAAAACCTTTAAGACATGTATAAATAACTTGAGATAAATCAACCATTTTCAAAGTTAATACGGATCACAGACTACTGTAGCAAGTTAAAATGACAAATAGATTTCTTAACAACTTTTTCCATTATTTTTGCAGTTCATATAACATATATCGTCTTACAATGCCAATATGACGTTAGTCTAGTGTAAAGGTTCTTTTACTTAAGCAACCAAAAAAAAAAACAAGAAGAAGAAGAAGAACTTTTCACAGAATACGTTTCTTATGGTGAGGACATGGCTTTTCTCCCATGCGAAAATACAATTCTAAATTCTTGCCACTTCCATCGAGATAGCCAGAAGTGCCAATGGAAAGTTATTCATCAAAAGTTATTAGATGCAAACCATTTTTGACAAATCCAATGAGACAGTACTGACTTAGCATGTCCTCAAATAAAATGCCATTTTAAAGTAAGTTTAACTATCATTTTGGTCCCACAACTCAGATTTGTTTAAATTTGCTCCCTGAAGGATGTGGTGAAAAAAGACGAATATTGTACAAATTAGGAGTAAAAGAATGAAATTAAAATATACAAATACACTAAAGAATCGCAATACTAATGAAGCCAAGAAAGGGGGAAAAAGTTTTAGAACCAAAACCTTAAGATTGTGGTCATTATTCCTACGTTCAGGCAGGTTATTAGTTATAATGTTCCAGGACGGATGTCTTGAATTACGTCAAACTGCCAGACTATAACCTAATTATAAGTTGGGAAATCAAGTATTTTGATTGTACATCGGTTATCAAAACTTAAAAATTGCTAAATAAACAAAGGACGAGCATAAAGCAACGGCCAGAGTCCAGAGTATACAATGACTATAAACGAGAAAGACCAATGAAAACAGGGTAAGTGGTTTCAGGAACCTTTGTAACTTCTATACTGGCTATTTACACTCCAGTCCATGCGATTACCACCCGCTGCCACCGGTCTGAAGAAAAGGCAAAAGCAATTAAGTCTAACAAGAGAACAAAAGGAAAGGTTAAGAATTCTGAAAGACATGGCAGCCATCAGCAGAAATAGATAAAAGATAAAACATCATCCAAAGGAAAAGCCGTAAGAAAAACAATGATTAATGAAAATTTGAAAAACAGAAGAAAAAAAATTGAAAAGCGGAACACAGGCAACAGAGGCGAGCTAAAGTAGAGCAAGACTCTGGTTCAAATGGAGTAGAGAATATCCGAACAAGAAAGACAAGAGCAACAGTAGGAAGGAATTTGCTCACCCCAGAATTCATGAGAAATGGGGGACGTAGGAGAGGCTGATGAAAACTAGAAAGGAGCGAGAAACTTGTTCAAGGCACTGAGAGCAAGTCAGAAAAGAATGTGTGTAAAATTCAGCCGAAGAAGTTTGGTAAGAATGGGGTGGGGGGACGGGGGGAAGAGGAGAGAGAAATGGAGGGAGAAGGAAACTGAAAAAACTAAAGGAGGGAAGATCGGCGTGGATCTGAAGCCGGATCTGATGAGCCGAGAGGGGAGAGTGAGCGAGGAAAGACAAAAGGAGCGACGCGTACAGAGAGGAAAGAAGTGAGCCGGGTCGATGGGGTGGAGTGGAAATGCGATGCAGAGATGAGTTGCTGAATGGTCAGCTTCGTTTGTCCATTCAAGTTAAAAAGTTAACCATAGTTCATTAGTTTGGGTGTTTGTGTTTTTTTTTTTTTTTTTTTTTTGACCATGTCGCTGAGTTTTAGTTATCTATCCATCTATTTCTATTTATATGTATATGTATATATGTGTACACGCGCGCGCACCATCAAGTTCAAAGCGGCCTTTCATAATAATCACATATTAATAAATTTTTTATTTTTATTTTCATAAAAATATGCATTATTTTTTTCTTTTTATCCTTAGTTCTAATTTACGATGAATAAAAAAATAGTCATAAATTTAAAAATGCAAGAATCCAGATTAATACATGTAAAGGGTATAATAGAAAAAAATTTACAAGTACTAAATTGTTTTCAATCTCCTTATTTTTAAATATAAAAGAAACTATCATGTACTTTTGTGTTTGTGTTCATAAACAAAACTATAAATTTTAAGAAACATTTATCACATTTTTTGAAACTGTCTCTCATAAACTCAATATTCATCTTCGCTAGATAAATTTTTTATTTTTATTTTCATAAAAATATGCATTATTTTTCCCTTTTTATCCTTAGTTCTAATTTATGATGAATGAAAAATAGTCATAAATTTAAAAATGCAAGAACCTAGATTAATACATGTAAAGGGTATAATAGAAAAAAATTTATAAATACTAAATTGTTTTTAATCTCCTTATTTTCAAATATAAAAGAAACTATCATATGCTTTTGTGTTTGTGTTCGTAAACAAAACTATAAATTTCAAAAAACATTTATCACATTTTTTGAAACTGTCATAAACTCAATCTTCATCTTCGCCAGACAAATTTATTGCATTAATTATAAGAATAATCTAGTCCATTTTTTTATTTTATATATAATAATTATACTTAATCAATTATTATACTGTGTGTCAATTGATTATTTTTTCTTATATTTGAAAATAAAGGGAGTATTTTGGACCAGGATTAAATAGGAGAGAGTGTTTATATTTTTGGATCGGAGGGATTATAATTTATTTTGTTAATAGCTCACAAATATCTTCTTATTAGATGTGGGCATAAATATGAGCACTTCTCTCAAGGATTCAAATATTATAAAAGATTAGCCCTTTCTCTAACCCAATTGGTTATATATAGTTGGCTTAAAGGGTAAAATACCTTAAAACTTTTTCATGAGGGACACTTATTATTGACCTAAAACTTAAAAATATAGTGCGATTTCACCCTCCCATTAGGGTTGACTGTTAATTGTCAAGGTGGCAGCCAACAGATATTTTTTAAAAGATTAAAAAAAATTACACCTAATACGTTCCATGCCTAACAAGGTTCTCATTGTCTTTGTTTTCATCATCCTTTACTCTTAGAGGCTTCTCGCATCCAGCACACATTCACCACTCTTAGTGGATTGCCTCTCATTCCTCAGATTTGTCAAGCAAGATACTTCTTATTCAGCAAAAATAAAAGAGGGTGTCGCGAGATGTGCTAGAGACACAGGGTCTTAAGAGGATGGAAGAACTTGACTTTCTAGTCAAATGCGGGGAAGCCAGGCTCCCTTTTCACAGTTTATCCGAATGTGACAATGCGAAGTAAAAAAATTAATGTAGATGTAGGGAAGCAGAAATACATTAATTAAAGAAAGAAATGACAGGCTATGTCGGTCATACAACAGAAAAATAAAAACTAAAACTACATGATAAAAGGAAAAATAAAATAAAGTAGCAGACATGAGATCTAAGACTGATAGTTTGTTGATGTTGATGATCCTCCTTGTTGAGAGAGAGCTCCTCTATTTATAGATGATCCTAGCTTGGTACCCAAGCCCTATGATCACCAGTTTCCTTGAATTTAGGAAGCACTTCTTCTATCATGGCCACTCATCATAGGTGGAGTGCGAATGGTCTTAATTTAGTAGCTAAGGCTTCATAAATATTTTCTTTAATTATTTTAAAGCTAATTAAGTTAAGTTGAGCTTGGGCTTCCAAATTCACAATTTGAGTGCAAACAATACCTCCCGCATGCAAATTGGCTGAAGCCTTTATAGGCCAATTTTGTATGGATATGTCTTAGAGGATCAACTCATTCTCGTTTTGATTGATGGTTGATCTGGTTCTTTTCTTAAAGGACACATTTGTGATTGAGGATTAAGGACCATGTGGTTTAGCTTAAGATAAAGTTTCTCAAGGTTTGGGACATCAAGAGCTAGTTCTAGAATTGGGCCTCCAAGTTTTTTAGACTTTAAAGATTGGTTTTATAAAACCTAGTTACTGCGGAGCTTGACCTTGTGACTTTTTCCCTTGTGGAGAGAGCCCTTTAGGAGAGAGCTCTTATAGAAAACACCCTTGCAAAGCTCACTTTTTTTACTTTAGCCCTTGTGACTTCGGCCCCAATGGCTTTGGCTCTTTTAGTGCTAGCCCCAATAACTCCACTAACCTTTATGGCTCCAGCTCCTCTAGTGCTGGCCCCAATGGCTCGGCCCCTCTAGTATTGGCACCACTGGCTTTACTAGGCCTTGTGGCTCCAGCCCCTTTGGTGCTGACCCCAATAGCTCTGACCCTTCTAGTGCTAGCCCCTGTGGCTCCAACCCTTGTGGCTGAGTAAGTCTGCTATTGAATTGGACCCGCCATTTATCCTTTGAGAGATGTTATAGCGGTCCTCATTGTTGATCTTCTGATTGAAGGGCATATTAGGAGACTGCCCCCCAAGTCCATTTATTCTTTAAAGGTGTGAGCCAATTAGAGCTTGCTCTAATGATGGTCTAGACAACATAGCAAAAATATTCCTTAACCCATCCTTCAGAGTTTACAACATAGCTATTTGCCTTTGGTTAGCTCATACTTCACATTTTCAATGTGCAGCCAAATTCTTTGAGTCATAAGACTCAAGTCTATTCTTTCCAACAACATATTGATCCTTACGTGTCTTAGGCATTCCGTTCACATGTGTCCTACCGGGCATGCTAAAAATTGTTTGAAAAAAATAAAAAGGAGTGTCATGAGGTGTACTAGAGACATGAGGTCTCAAAAGGATAAAAGAACCTGACTTTTAATCAAACACAAGGAACCCGAGCTCCCTTGCCACAGTTTACCTGAATGTGAGCGTGCGAAGTGAAGAAAATTAATGTAGATGCAGTGAAGCAAAGATGCATTAATTAAAGAAAGAGGTGGAGGGCTATGCCAACCGTACAACAAAAAAATAAAAAACTAAAACTACATGATAAAAGGAAAAATAAAATAAAGTTGTAGACACGGGGTCTGAGGTTAATAGTTTGTTGATGCTGATGATCTTCCTTGTTAAAAGAGGGCTCCTCTATTTATAAATGATCCTGGCTTAGTGCTCAAGCCCTATGATCGTTAGTTTCCTTGAATTTAGGAAGCGCTTCCTCTATCATGGCCACTCATTATGGGTGGAGTACGGATGGTCTTGACTTAGTAGCTAAGACTTCATAAATATTTTTTTAATTATTTTAAAGCCAATTAAGTTGAGTTGAGCCTGAGCCTCCAAATTCACAATTTGAGTGCAAATACTTCCAAATTCCAACCTCTTCTTCCCTAGAAGGTATAGCAACCTAGAAGAAGAGATTGTAGAATCAAAAGTGAAGTAATCACTGAGAAATCAAGTCTAATTGATCCTATGTTTCTTTAGATCGAAATAGTAAAATGAAACAGTGAATCCAGTAATGAGAATGAATGGATTAGGCAATAAATAGAGCTAGTTAAATGCATCAAATATAAATAGAAGCAGAACAAAGAAAAGCTTGAATTAAAATTTTGAAAGGAAGCGGAACAAAGGAAAGCAAAACAAATAGAAAAAAACTTTACAACTTGTTTAAAATTTCAACTAGTTTATTGCTAATTGAAAATTAATGTACAATAAAAAATTGAAATCCAATTGATACAAAGAAGGTAGATGAAATCTTTCATAAAAAACCATAACAACACAAAAAGATAGATATTGGACTTCAACAGGAGCCAGTTGGAGAAGTTGTTGATGGCCAACTTGATCTTGTCCATCGTGTACTCCCTGAAATTGAAACTAGGTTTGATCAACCTAATCTTGCATGTCTCTCTGTCTCTTGAGCTCTGATTGAAGCTCCAACAAGAAGCTCAACCTTGTTTGATGACACCTACTTACACACCAGCAACAAAAAGGAAGAGTGGCAAGGCCCTTGAGGCTTCCTCTTTTTGTCTCAGTGATGCGATGACAAATAGGGAAGAAGAAATGGATTTGTTTTTTTCTTAAATGCCAGCCACCTAATAATTAAACTTAACTAATGATCAACAAATAGTCAATATTGATTGGAGGGTGAAATTGCTTTTTTTTTTTTAAGTACTAGGGCAATATTGCTTTAAAAAAATTTTAAAATATTAGACGCCTCTTTTGAAAACGTTCCAATATATTTTTACCCTTTAACCCTATATAATTTAGTTTAGTCGTAATATTCCCTTGATATAAATTCCAATTTTTTAAAAAAGAGGTAAAGATACATTTTTGCCTCTAAAATATTCTTTGAAGTGCATCCAACACTCTAAACTATTAGCCAAAATAATTTTATCTTTAAAATAATTAAAATAAAATATTTTTGCCCTTGTCGTTAAATTTCTATAACGGTCAACATTAGAATTTCAGTTAGTATTTGTTAATAGTCAACATTGGAAATTTGATGGCAAAAGCAAAAATGATTCATTTTAAATAATTTAAGTTAAAATTACTCCAACCAATAATTTAAAATGTTAGATGCTCATCGAAGAATACTTTAAAAATAAAAATATACCTTTATCCTAAAAAATTACACAAATTAAAGAATAATTAGGTTTGTGTGATTTGTAAAATTAGATTTTATTTTTATTTTTACCTTGCTTGAATGGTACAAGAAGGAGTGTTTCTTTAACAATTAAAGGTGGGATAGGCAGCTGCGGAAAGAAAAAGTGGGATCGGTAATTTAAATTTTTTTTAATAAAAGATAAATTTAAAAACATGTA